AAACTGCTTTTTCCAATTCAGTCCAAATTTTGAAAGCTTCAAGTACCATCTTCTTCAAGTACCATCTTCTTGCTACTTTTGTAGGAAACCCCCACAAAATTTTCACAGTTATTGTCAACAAGATTGCCCTACAAAGATCCAAAGCAGAGTTTAGTCTAAATAAGAAAATCAGTTATGCTTGTTACGTACTTAATCATTATCAATAACCTTCCACCATAAATGCTCCTCTCTAGACTGGGGTTTTATTTCCTGTTTCTTTTCAGTTTCCACTCATCAACTTCAGCTGCTTTATCTTTTATCTTTACATATAATTTTAATTTTCTTTCCTCTGCCTTCCGTTGCTAGTAGCAAGGCTCAAATAACATTGACCTCCTCTGCCCATTGTGACTCTCTTGCAGATTCACCAGCTTACAGTAATCACGCTTCTAAGAAAATTAATATATAAATAGAAAGGATAGCATATTAAACTGAAATAGAATGGGGAAGAAGTTGCCAGGTTTTATGGGGAGATAAAATATCAATATTTAATTAATAAATTAAATATTGATAAATTAATAATGATGTCTCAGAAAACAGATTTAGCTTGATGCTATCTGCACTGAGATACTATGTCTTTATTTAACACTATGCCCTCGTGACTACCTCCTTCTGAACTGCTCAAACGGGAAGTGTTAAACAGGGCTGCCATGGAGCCACCAAAACCAGAATGGAACACGCTAACAAGCAGAGTCCTTGTACATGCAGCCAATACCGCAACCCAACACCAGCCACCAGCTGGAGGAAGATATGAATTGCCTTCTTGAAGCTTATCGGCCGCATCTTCTGTGTATGACATGACACAATACAGTGTGTATCCTTCTCTCTAAGTATGGTAGGAAATGAGGACCTATATAAAACCAAATCCTTTTTTCTTCAAAAATAACAGATGGAATACATGCAACAAAAAAGAAAATTTCACCATATATTTGCTAGGCAGTGTACTGCACAGCCACCACAACATGAAAATAATAATAAAAAGCAGCAACCATAGCAAGTTCTGAAAAGTTACTCCATAAGGAGTGAAAGTTAACACCCAAGTTCCTATAAATCTGTGCTCTTTTCATGGCCTAAACTCCCAACACCAACCCCAGCTCACCTGTCAGTTCTCCTGACAGAGCCACCAAAGGAAAGACACAACATTTGAGGGCCCGTCAGCAATACCTACTGGAGAACCTGCCACTATAGTCACCTGCTGCTAAACAGGGGGATTCTCCTCCTCCACTGCTTTTGCTCTGAACTGGTCTTTCTTTACCTTACAGAAGATTGCACAAACAAATGGTGAGAGGGTATTGTATGTAAATTAAATTTTGAACTACCCATACTTCTGTTCTGTATTTGGCCTCAGAAATTGAATAAGAAAGCCAGTCCATGGGTTGGAGCTGTGGTTATACCTTCTCAGCAGCCCCTGGGGAGCCCATCCTACCCTTCATCCCAATTTCTCCAAGACAGGATGATGATCGACTTCAGCTATACATCAAATGGGATTTTTAGCAAGGCCTTGACATCATCACAATTCATACCTTAAGCACTGTTTTAGTCCCACACATGCACCACGTTCCCCTTCCCTTAGCAACAATTCTCACCCACAAGAATAAGGGAAGAGGTGGGTACATTTTCTGCTTTCCAGCATTAACCAGTCACAAGTGGTGTTCCCCAGGGCTCAATACTGGGGCCAGTCCTGTTTAGTATCTTTACCAATGATCTGGAGAAAGGGATCGAGTGCACCCTCAGTAAGTTTGTAGATAACACCAAGTTTGGCAGGAGTGTTGATCTGCCCGAGAGTAGGAAGTCTCTAAAGAGGGATCTGGACAGGCTGGATCAGTGGGCTGAGGCCAACTGTGTGACATGCAACAAGGCCAAGTGCTGGGTCCTACACTTGGGTCACAACAACCCCCTGCAATGCTACAGGCTTGGGGACAAGCAGCAGAAAAGGACCTGGAGGCATTAGTCAACAACCGACTGAGTATGAGCCGGCAGTGTGCCCAGGTGGCCAAGGCCAACAGCATCCTGGCTTGTATCAGAAACAGAATGGCCAGCAGGACTAGGCAAGTGATTGTCCCCCTGTACTCAGGACTGATGAGGTTGCACCTCGAATACTGTGTTCAGTTTTGGGCTCCTCTCTACAACAAAGACATTGAGCTGCTGGAGCATGTCCAGAGAAGAAAATGCAGCTGGTCTTACAAGGAGCAGCTGAGGGAACTGGGTTTGTTTAGTGGGGAGAAAAGGAGACTCAGAGGAGACTTTGTAGCTCTCTACAACTAAACGAAAGAGGTTGTAATAAGAGGGGGTGTTAGTCTCTTCTCCCAAGTGTCAAGTGATAGGACAAGAGGAAATGGCCTCAAGTTGCACCAGGGGAGCTTAAGATTGGATATTGGAAAAAAATTCTTCACCAAAAGGGTTGTCAGGCATTGGAACGGACTGCCCAGAGAAGTGGTCAAGTCACCATCTCTGGAGGTATTTAAGAGGTGTCTGTATGAGGTGCTTAGGGTCGTGGTTTAGTGGTGGTAGTGGCAGTGTTCGGTTAACGGTTGGACTTGATGATCTTAAAGGTCTTTTCCAACATAAAAGATTCCAAGATGCTATGATCATTTCCAGTGAGCATTTTTTGCTCCCACAAGACAGTGGCCAGGGGGTTGTGCTGCCTCCCGTGTGGGGCAGATGTCCCACCACCACCTTTTAAAACTCACCAGGGTCCCTCACGGTTAACCAGGGACTGGTGACCTATGAGGCAGCATGCTGGCCCCCTCTCTCTGGGGAAGGTCCCAGACTGCAAGGCTGAGCTTTGGTCTCTTTTCACTCATTCCTCACCCACGAGGGAGTGTGCCCTTTCAGCCAGAAACTGCTTCATGAAGGCTGTGACACACTCACCCTACCCTGGGGACCACCCTCTCCGCTCGGGGTCTGTCAGTGAGCCCCCTCTGGTGGGACCGTGACAGTGACAGGGTTAGCAACTGCCTCTTCGCCAGGGTCTCGCCCCTCAACCCCACCCTGACAACCACTGGGGCAGTGCTTGGGTTGTGTTCAGTGGCTGAAGGCCAATGCCAGCATGGCAGTGGGGCTCTGCCCAATGGTGGCCATAGCGCTCGGTGGCCTTCAGTCGTGGACTTCCCACCCCAGGGCACACTTCCTCACGCAGCCTCTGAGGGAGAGATGTTACATTGTTCAGATACGAGAGATTTTGCACTGAATAAGAGAATGTTTCAAGGCAATACATGTAGCAAGAAAGTCTTAGATCTGAGGGGAGTTTTTTCCTTTTCAGTTACATTTTTTATTTGTTGAATTCTCTTCCAGAAAATCATCAGTGCTATATACAGCAAATGCATGCATCTGCATTTACATAATTTTGCATCATATTCTTGCCTAAATTGATATTCAGTCATGATAAACATGTGCAATCTTTATCACACCTGGCATTGATATTTAAAACCCTCACACTGCACTGCAAACAAGGATGGATTGCACCAGCCAAGGCAGCACTACTTTCGTGTAGTACCAATGCCCTTCCTCAAGGGATCTTCAGCTCCAGCACTGTGCTTCCTGGCCCTTTGAATTGCCACTGAGCGATGTGGTTAGATATCCAAGCTCTGCTGTCTCTTCAGCCGTGAACTTTAAAAAAAACCCAACCAGACTAAACAGCAAGCTGCAGATTACCTTAATTTACACAGCCATAGGAGTGTAATGTCTCACACAGCAGCAAATCCAGACACCATCATAGCTTATGCTCCCATTGCAGAGGAGCTGCAGAGGACTCGTAGGTACTCCTAGCAGAGTGCAAACCGTGGTGGTCCTCTTCTCTCCTCCATCCTGCCCCTCTACCCTCCAGCTCTGGCTCCCGTCTACCTCGCCATCCCACCAGACTGCTACGATGTGCTGAAGCTGGCTCAATAAGAAGATCCACTGAGGATCTTCTGAAAAGTCATGGCTGGGTAAAACTAATTGCATTTATCACAGATATTTCTATATTCATGGTGAGTCAAATACTGACTCAGTAAAAATTCTGGCTGAATTAAGTCAGATTCTGGTCCTATTTTTAGGTATAGTCCTTAATAATTTCTGAAGCTAATAAAGTAAATCTCTGAAGCTAATAACGTATAAAGTAAAATAAAATAAAATGAATTCCAGCACCTGAATCCTGTGCTAATCAAAGAGAACAGACTCCCAAGCAAAGCTCCATTCCCTGTTCAGAAGATAATCTCAGGAGATGTCATAAACTCTTTCTGTGGATATTTCAATGTTCTTGTTAATTAATATTTTTCTTTCTTTTTAACATTCTCTTTAGTAGACATGTCACTGTTGGCTTTGACCAGCCTCAGCATTGGTGTAAGCAACTCCCAATGAGCAGGTGGAGTGTAGAACTGGGCAAAGATTTACCACACCTAACAACTAAGCCCAGCTGTGACAGCAGCCTTGAGCCTGTTTCTCCATTTCTCTGTTTGCTTTCCTGGCCGCGCTCTGCTCAAAATGCCAACTCTTTATGTTCATATTGTTACAGCATGGCCTCTCTGCAACAAAAGCACAGTGGAGACCTATGCTTAAATGGGATTTCCAGGTAGAAGTAATGAACAGAAACAATATGAATGTAAGCACAATGAGTCTGAACATAACCCGATTCCTTTACTTAGTACTTTGGGAGTATTTCAGTGGACATGTAGGACAGATGAGATGCAATATTTCCTTAGAAAAAAAGGAGGGTTCTCTGTAAACCTCACTTTCCTGATAATTCTAAGAGAGTGCACTTTTAGAAGAGCATGAATGTTAAGAGAGACGAGTGAGATTTCAGTTCTCCACAGGACAGTGTTATTCTTCTATCTTAATTCTTTTCCTGAAAAGAGTTGTAGATTGTAGGAGCTCCCTTAGAGGTGCAGAGAAGGCCAAATGACTTGCTGTCACAAGCACAGTGACACTGGTTTGGGTTGCTCAGTGGGAAGAGTCTTCAGTAACAATGCTGTTCACATGCTCTATTATATAGTAAAAGAAGATCCATTGTCAGTCAGAATTTCACTAGTCTGTCTTGAATGACAAATATCAGAGTTTGTCCTTGAACCACGTTTATTGTATTTCTTGTATCTCATGCACCATAGGTCCTTCATTAGCTTCACAAAATAACTTCTGAACTTCACTCCAATAAATGCATAGAGCACCGGGTTCACACAACAGTGTAAAAATGCTATGGCTTCAGTGGTGTATTTTGCATAGGCCATTAGCTTGTCATTGTCACAAGATTGGTCTATCTTGCCCATATTTACAGCTGCCACAAGAAGAACAATATTATAAGGTACCTGGCAAACTAGAAAAACAACTACAATTAATACAACCACACGGATTGCTTTGTTTCTTTTGGAATTCTGAGCTTGTTGTAAGGATTTAACAATGAACGTATAGCAGAAAATCATGAATATGAAAGGTATAAAAAATCCAAATACAACTTGTAGACACAGCAACAGTGATTTCAGCATCGTGCTTTCAGACTTTCTGTCAAATCTGTGATCACAAATCTCTTTGGTTTCATTGGTGGAGAAGCTGTAACTTTCACTGTATAGAAAAGAGGAGCTAGAGATTAAAATTGATGATACCCACACAACCAAACAAATGAGTTTTCTGTGTGTGAGCATTCTTGCCCTGAGTTTGAATGACTTTGTTGCCTGTACGATAGCAATGTACCGGTCCACGCTGATAAAGGCCAAAAACAGCATGCCACAGCTGAAGTTGATCGCATAGACACCTCTGGTCATTTTGCAAATGAAATCACCGAAAATCCATTTGTCAGAAGCATAGTTCACTGCCCACAGTGGGAGAGTGAGAACAAACAGTATGTCCACTATGGCCATGTTGAAGAGGTACACATCTGTCATGGACTTCGTTCTTTCATATAAAGCAAAAGTCATCACTACAAAGATGTTACCAACTAGGCCGATGATGCAAATCAGTGAATACACAACTGGCAGAAATGCTTTTGTGAAGTTCCTGACTTCCAACTTAGAACAAGGTTGTGTGATTAGAGAAGCATAGTCTGAATAATATGGATAATCTGTGGTACGAGGGTCTGTCTGTAAAAAGGAAGATCATCAGTTAACACATGGACGTTAATCTCTAATTTCTATATAGTAGAAAGAGGATAGATGACAAAGTCACACAGATGCAAGGTACTTTGGAAATCTTTCAAAAATTCGTATACAAGTGCCCTTTGCCTTGCTGATTTGGAAGTGACAATGCCTTATCATAACTGTAATACTTCTGTCTGGTCCTTCCCATGCCTCAGCTTCAAGCTTGTATCAAACCCGTCTCAAGACAGTCCACGTCACTGTTGTTTCCTCCAACATTACCTGTTTTACACTGTTTTCACCAACCACACACCCCAATTACAAATGCAGTTAACACCGCAGAGGAGACTTATAAGAGCTAGCTAGGGAATTGCATAAAACCTTAACTAAAACATGAACATGGAGATAATCTTTCTGGTGGCCCAAAGGTTTCCGTCTTTAAATACATTATGAAGATGGATTAGTGTGCTGTCACAAAAGACTCTACAGTATAAAAGTCTGAATTTGAAGTAGGGGTCTAGGATGGTAAAGAACCACCCTGGATGATAAAGGACCATCAAGGCTGGGGAACAGGCCTTTCTAGTGTGTAATACATTTCATACTAATGTGGCTTGGCTAAATCAAGGCCAAAAATGATTAGTCCTCTCCACCCAGCTAAACAGGCAATCCAGGATGGCTGGCCTGAGAGACAGTTAGCTGCACAACAAAGACCAAACCTATAGTTACATTAGGAGAATGAAATCCGATTAAACAGTGTGCTTTCACAGTGAAATCTGCTGTCAGAAACATCTCTTCAGCTAATCACTCTGGAAATCAGGGCTTTGGGATCAGCACCCTCAAAGAGCTGGGACTTCCAGTTTCATTGCTTTATTGATGTACTAATATAGTTTATCAATTAAGTACTTACAAAATTCATTTTGGCAGTACACTTCTCAGAAAGAAAAATATGTTGAGAAGAACTTCAAAATACTTTCCCAAGGATTTCTGAAAAGAAAAGAAAGTCAGCTGGATTGGGAAACCAGCACAAGAAATGTGAATATTAGTAGCAAGTAGAAAACCACAACAGGAAATAAAACATTTATTCAAAGAAGAATCTTATCACTTCAACTACACCAACAATACACAGGACTGCCTCAATAAATCACACATGTGCAGCTGTGGGAAGTAAGTGGTTTGTATCAGTATCATTAAGAGCACAGTCTTACATATAGAATGTTTATGCATACAGCTACTAAACGATAAGTGAGAACATGTGACTCACTTCACATTGACTTGGCACCACAAGAAATTAGAGTAAATTAAATTCTACTTTCAGAAATTCTGTATGACAATGGCAATCAGTGTATTGAGGAAATATGGAACAAATGAAAAGCACTACCTTAGTATACCCCATAACAGTAATATGGCACTTTCTTGTGGGGTTTTTTACTCAGATATTTTGCCAGTGTCTCAGAACTCTTAACATCACATTACTTACCCTTTCTTATTGCACTAGTGAGGTAAATTAAGAGTACCAGGATAATTGTTTCTTATAGTGTAAAGGACAGTACACGACATATGAACAGACTGAGCACTAGTGTTATTTTGTCTTTGTTCAGTGTGCAGATCCTTGTTATAGACCACACTCTGACAATAATTTATTTTCCTTATCACTGTGACACCTAAGTATTTCACAAATGGTAATAAATTAATTTGCACAACACCCTGAGGTGAGGAGGTATTATTACATTTATTTTACGGAGAAGAAACCTGAGCACTGAGTCATTACAGGAGGTGTCTAGTTGAGTTATTCAGTTTGAGACACCTGTCCCTCCCTAACATCACTTTGAGAGTGCTTAGCATTGTGAAGGACTTCAGTTATGTAAAGGATTAAATCCATTGACTCTGGTGGCAGCCAGGCTCAGACTTCTGCAAATCAGATCACAGAGTCTTAAGTCACAGGCAGATAAAATGGGGAACAGGCCTTTGGTGGCCACATGTGCAAAGCTGGGCTTAAATGACTTATTCAGACTCACACAGGAACCCAGGGGCAGGAGATTTAGTTCCTCAGTATCCTCCTGCATGACTTCAGTTCTCCTCTTCTTTCCACTAGCTGCTCTGTGAGAACGGCACATGCCAGCAACACAGCAAGCGCAGGGACCGGACAACACGAGGGCCCATCTGTGCTAAGGCTGCAAATGGCAGTTCCGTCTGGAGTTTCTCTGCTTTTTGTTAGTTGTGCTGCTAATTAGGAAGCGTGCGTGGGTCAGCTTTTAAGTCTAGATAAACAAATCCTTCCCATTTGAGAATTACCAGAATTTTAAAAGAGGGAGAGAGAGGGGTAATCATCTGTAAAAGTGGGGCAGATGCAGTCCACATATAACTGGGAAGTTGGGGAAGGGAAAGTACTGAACACTCTCCAAAAGCATAATGAGGGTGAGACTCTCTATGACTCATGTGGGGAGGCTGGCTCATGACAGAGGGTTGCAGACGGGTAAAGACCCATACTCCATGATGTTGCTTAAGCATCACAGCTTCTCTGGCTTTCCTGCCCTTTAAATAAATCTCTAACCACCTCTCCAGCTTCCTCTGATGGCTTTTCAAAGCTGATTTTTAGAAGCTGCAGGAATATGACAGCCTGAAAGCACTCGAACACCTTCTGAAACAAGCTTTAAACAATTAAAATTGTCTCTCAGAAGTGCAAAGAAGTGTAAGGCAAGCAGGTAAGTTCTACATTCACCTGGGACTGTGGTACCCTAGCCCATCTTTAAGCAATTCTAATGTCCATCTGCTGTTTTACACTCCTCTGACCCCATCCAGCCAGACACTCATGGCCTTGCTTGGTGCCTTCTAAAATTCTAGAATAGTTTGGGTTGGAAGGGACCTTAAAGATCACTTAGTTCCAAACCCCCTGCCATGGGCAGGGACATCTTCCACTAGACCAAGTTGCTCAAAGCCTCGTCCAGCCTGACCTTCTGTTACCCTTTCACTTGGCTGCAACTCCAGTAACTCTTCAGTTAGGCAGCACTACAAGGGTACCTGTTTAGGTTATTATTTTAGAAACTGACATTTTATTGTTGCAAGAAAAATTCTAGGTATTTGTCATTCAGCCTGGAGAAGAGGAGGCTCTGAGGAGACCTCATTGCAGCTTTCCAGTATCTGAAGGGGGCCTACAAGGGTACTGGGAGAGGACTTTTTACAAGAGCCTGTAGTGATAGGACAAGGGGTAATGGGTATAAATTGAAATCAGGGCGGTTTAGATTAGATGTCAGGAAGAAATTCTTCACAGAGAGGGTAGTGAGGCACTGGAACAGGTTGCCCAGAGAAACTGTGGATGCCCCATCCCTGGATGTCTTCAAGGCCAGACTGGATGTGGCTTTGAGCAACCTGGTCTAGTGCAAGGTGTCCCTGCCCATGGCAGGGGGGTTGGAACTAGATGATCTTTAAGGTCCCTTCCAACCCTAACCATTCTATGATTCTATGATTCTATGACATCTTGCTACGACATACATGGTTAAAATATACAAAGAGAGAGCCTGACTATACATTCTCTGTAACTGTTGCCCTTCATTCAACTTAGCCAAAGCCACTCTCAAACATTAGGATAACATTTAGAAAAAGGGAGAATGGGTGTTTCCTACAGCCTGCAAGGAGAGCTAAGAAAGGAGATCTCTTAAGATTAGCACTGAAGAAGAAGGGCTTTCTACTCCCCAGAAGAGCTCAGCAGAAAGGCTTCGGGGAACAACAACTACCCATCATGGGGGAGCTGCGTACCCTCCCTGATGCTACAGGAATTCACAAAGGCACCACCAGTCACACTGTTGTTGAAAAAAGGACTTCCACTGTCCAGCAAAAGCTTCTTGAGGATGATTGGTACAAGATTAGTAGAAAAGGACTCAAACTGAAACCAGAATTGCAGAGATCAGATTTAGGACGTGACTGAAATCTCCTGAGTTGATTTTTTTTTCTGAATTTGAAACAGCATTCACTGAAGTTAAGAAGATGCACTGGCTGGAAAGGAAGTTGAAGCAGAATTCCTGTAAACGCAGTTCTCTTTTCAATTTAAATCTAACAGCTTTTTAATAAGCATTTTCTAATTTATAATCTGCATATTTATTTCTTTATGTAGTATTAAAGTATGAGGTAATTATAAAAAATAAATTTGCACATATATAGAGGTGTGTGTGTTCTAACATTGTTTATATACTACATATGGACACATACTATGTTCTGAGTATTAAATGTATAAGCCTTGTATTATTTAGGTTACTATTTTTCTACTTGTTCCACATATTTCTTTTCACTATGAAAGCAATACATGAGTATTCAAAAGCAAGATTAAACTACAATATTAAATACAAATACATTACTTGAATTATACAAGTAAAAGACTATGGATAAAGAAACATCTCAAGAAAAAGACAGGTTTCTATAAGGAAAAAAAATTCTCCATTCTTGCAGGGAATCAGTAACTATTTTTTAAACATTGCCCACCATTGTAAGCACACTCCTAATTACATGTTCAGTTTAATAAATTCATCACACATACATACATTATAGATTACCTATTTTATTTTAGTACTTACCAGATTTTAAAATTGCCTGAAGATCAGGTGAAAGAGAATGTGGGATTCTGTAAAAGTGTCCTCTCAAGAGGAGGAGACACTTTAATTTGAAAAACAAGAAATAGCAGCATTAGTTAAAGGTACAGAGTTAAATTGAAAAAATCACCACTTCCTCCTGAAAAGCAATAACAATAACCTGCTTTTTTACATAAAGGAAAAACATTTAACCTTATCTGTGCTGGAAACATGCAAGCTGGAGGCAAGTCATCTGATATTTAGGTTACCTATGTAATGGTATTATTTTTTAAATGATTCAGCTAGCATTAGAATCATAAAAAGTAGGGTGTTGCCACTGTGCTCAGAGCACACCCTGAATGATGAACGATTTTTGCAAAGGGTGCACTTAATGTCATGCAGATGAGAAGTTTAATCATTAATTATTTAAATCAACAAGATCACTCA